CCAAGCTAACAATTCAAATGCTGCCACTGAGGGTGCTCTAGAAAAAAACAGAGTTATTCAGACCACTTCTGAGAGGATTTTTATTTTGACAAGAAGAAAAGTGCAGCTAAAGCTTACCATTATTTTTTCAATCTGGCTATGATTTATAATGGCTTCCTGCCAATGGCAATTTGAAGGCAGAGTTGTACCTGGTTTTGCTCTCAAACAATACAAAAAGCAGGATTTGTGTTTTGACAGTTTTGAAGGAAAATGAGTTTTTTCCTAAAATGCACTCTGCTGAAAAGGGCAACAGATTGCCTTAAAACAGATTGTGTTAAGATAATAGTTATTCTGAAAATGGAATCCCTCAACTTTTTCAGTCTGTCTTAGAGGATCATATCCAGTAATTTCTGCCTCCTTGGATCTTGCTCAGCCAAATCATGAGTGTTCTAGTCATGTCTAAATTGGATTCTTGAATTTGCTGAATTCATGCAGTAGAAATACAGTAACAGGTCTCTAACACCTGTTTTGCATAAAAGTCTGGAAAGGCCTGCTTTCACTCAAATTGTAATTTGATGTTTGGGAAAATAGCATTAGAAACTTGTGACTTATAGCAGAAACAATCAATCTGTCATCTTGAAGCCAGTGTTGCAGAAATCTTTGCACTAAATAAAGTCAGGGGAAGAAGAGCAGTAAAGTCAGTGCCTGTTTTAGTTGAGACTGATGTTTAAATCTCGAAGTCCACTTCAAAAATGGGACTGACATTTGTACAAGCATACAAATGTCAGACTGTGCTTTTTTAGGCTTGGATCTGTTTAGACTGTTCATGCTTTAAACAGCAGGTTTGAAGTGTTTGTACCTAAATTTGGACAGAAGAGTTTGGGCTCTTTTGAACAGTAGCTAGTATCTTCTCCATAGGAAAAACAAATAAAAAATCCAAACCAACACAACAGTATTTCATTGTGGTTAATCATAAACTTGAGATATTTTTTAAATTAGAAACCTTGGCTGTTTCTGCATAATGCATTCAGTAGGACAGATCAGGATCTATCTGACAGCTGTGATCTTGCAGTATCACACAGAATCTCTTCCCATACAGCAAAGGACTTTCTGCCACAGCCAGATGGAAGCTGTAGGGCAAAAGGTTTTAGAGTTCGTCTTAACCAGGGTTAAGTTCAGGACATCAGTTTATAACTTACCATTAAACAGAAACTTCCATTTTGGTAGCTGTGCTAGACTGACCTTAAAACAATGGCACACATCAGCAAAGGTGACTGGTGTGGAGGTTCCTGTACTGATATGCCAGGTTTTTTCTGTGTGGGAACAATGGGTGTGTTTATGTAAATCAGAGTGATATCAAGCTGGTTTTTACACATTGTTTGGAAAGAATTCTTATTTATCTTTGTCTGGAGGATATATCTTGTCCAAAGTTTAGAGGGAGATTATTTTTTTAGTATGTGCAAGCTCTGTTTGGTGTGGTTCTCCCTCCTGCTACTCAGTATTTCTAATGCAGAGAGAGATCTGCATTCTCACATACCCCTGAAACAGGCACGGCTGTGGAATCAGGGCCTCTCCAAGAGGCACAACACATGGCAGTGCTTTGTTGTGGGCTCAATGCACTCATTGTAACTCACAGGTCCTGTGGTAGGAAGGTCACTCTCTACTCCATGGCTAGACACATATTGTGCCTGCTAAATGCTGCTGTAGTATTTCATCGCAGTGGGAACCCAGACAATAGGTCATGCCTTGCATTAATGTGTAGGATCTTGAAAAATCAATACAATTCAAATAACAGGGGACTGCTGCCCAGCCATTTACTGTTCCCAGGACACACAGAGCAGCAATGGCTGTGCCATTAAGCTGCCACTGAGCACACAGAAAGTACAGCGGGCTTGCTGCTAACTCATACCAATAAATCCAGAATCATGCATGGGGACGTGTTACTGCAAATATGAATGGTTCCCTTCCTCCAGACATCTCTTCGAATATTTTTTCTAATACAAATATAAGCATCAAATTCCTCAAAGGAAGGCCAGTTTCTGGGTAAATTTTTGTGTCCAAGCAACTGTATCTCTTTTGCTGAGGGCCTGCTCTAACAACCATTAGAATCAATAGAAAGGCTAATTGATTTGAAAGGCTTTGGATAAAGCACCTAAGGCCACAACCTGCACTACTGCAACCACCAGAAAATTTATGATTGACCTCAGTGAGTGCAGGATGAAATACCTGAGCTCTTGCTCAGCAGGTATTTGAGTCCACACACACAATTCATTTCACTATAAACCATTCATATACTTAAGTACTTGTCAGATATGGAACAAAAGTGTGATGGTTGCCAGGCTAAGAAAGAGAGTAGCTTTCAGAACTGCCTTTCTCCTGCCAACAGCAATGATATTTGAGAGAAAGAATAAGCAAGTTCATTGTTTCCACCATTTTGTTACAATAGAAAATTAAGAAATAAGTTAAATGAAAATGGAAGAATTTGAGAGCAACACTACAGGAAGAAGAGAGCTTCTATTCCTTCAATTACTTCTCAGGGGACTTTCAAAAATATAAACAGTGACTTTTTATCTTCATTAGGAGTCTGTGGCTCAAATAAAACCCAAGCTTTCCTAGGGCTTGCCTACACTGGAAAAATACATTATGTTAATTGATTAACATTTAATGCTTAATATAACAGTCAGTACAAAGAAAGACTAAGGCTTTGACATTTTTGGTTGTTGTTGACCCAAGGTAACCCAGCTGCCAAACATGACAGTTCTTGTCTACACTAAGTGGTTTGTATCACCTTAATTAACATGTTCTAACACAATGTAATTTTGCAATACAGATTAGTCCTTTGGGGCATTTATTCTGTACATTTAATTTTCTGTCTCGCCTATCTTGAATTTGCAGATATGTGCTGCTTCTCCCCTCCCCCTTCCTGAAGCAACTATCATTGAAACCTGAAGAGACTTTGTAAGCATTCTCATTTCTTGTTCAACTTATAAACTGAAACTCAATCAAATATACTATTTGTTTATGTCCCTTGATAGTGCTGATGTTATAAAAATAAAGTTGATTTTTTAAATTCAGGAATGGCTAGTTCTGCATGGAAAAGTATCATCAAATGCTAGCTGATTGAAGCTTTTGCAAAAATATTGCAGATTGTACAGCTAGGCAGTCTCCTGGTCAACTCACACAACCTATTCCCAGCCACAGGAAGGCACTTTGCAGCCTTTTTCCAAAGTCTACTTTATTTTGTTTTACATAGAGAAGCTTTGTCCTTACCAGAAAATGAAGGGGGGAAAAAAAGAGAAAGCAAAAAAGTAGGAAAAAAGATATCATTAAACATTGAGGTTAAAAGATCAAGTTTATCTGGACTCTAGCAACCGACACACTCAAGCTGTACACAGTATTTTATGACAAAATGCTATTATTTTGTAATAAACCAAGTTCCGCAGCACAACTGAAACTGTGAAATATCCTAAATTGGTAGGACATGCTGCATGTAAAATGCTGTTTGCCTACATATCACTGATTTATTTCAGCATCTTCTGAAGGACACAGAGCTTTGCCCATCCAGCACTCACTGCAGTCTGAAGTGACTATTAACTTTCTGATATACCCAGTTATATTAAGTGGCTGAAGGTGTGCAGCACAACCACACCAGCTCTCCTGGACTGTAATTTCACTGTCTGGAAATTCCTTTCTGAGAAAAGAGCAGCTAAAATGAAAATTGTTGCATTTACATTCATTGCCTCTTCTATCTTTTTCGTAAAAAGACGGAGTCAGTGATCTAGTGCATGAGTTCTCTAGGGCTTTACAGCCCAGCTAAGGTGCTTCAGCCTAATAACTGTTGAGAGATGTAATTCTTCTTCTATACTCTGCTCCCCTAAGACCCCACTTGGAGTCCTGGATGGACATGGACCTCAGCACAAGAGAGATATGAAGTTCCTGGGGCAGGTCTACCAGAGAGCTACAAAGTTGGTCAAGGGACTGGAGCATCTTTCTTATTAAGAAAGGCTGAGAATTGGGCCTGTTCAGCCTCAAGAGGAGGCACCTGAGAGGGGTCCTCACCAATGTCCATCAGTCTCTGAAGGGAAGGCGACAAGAGGATAGGCCAGGCTCTTCATGGTGGTGCCAAGCCGAAGGACAAGAGGCAGTGGGCAGAAATTGATGCACAGAAGTTCCACCTGAACATGAGGAAAAACTTGTGACTGAGCATGGGAACAGGTTGCCCAGAGAGGTGGTGGAGTCTCCCTCACTGGAGATATTCAAGAACCATCTGGACACAATGCTGTGCCATGTGCTCTGGGATGGCCCTGCTTGAGCAGGGAGGCTGGAGCAGATGACCCACTGTGCTCCCTTCCAACCTCACCTGTTCTGTGATTCTGTGACCTGTTGGAGCAAGTTCAAGATGACTGGAGGGATGGATCACCTCTCCTATGAAGAAGAGACAATCCCTGAGAGAGTTTGGGTTGTTTAACCATGAGAAGGCTCCAGGGAGACCATGAAGTTTTCCACGGTGAGGGTGGTGAGGCACTGGAAGAGGTTTCCCCGAGGAGCTGTGGCTGCCCCATCCCTGGGAGCGCTCAAGGCCAGGCTGTACGGGGCTGTGGGCAGCCCGGTCTGGCGGAGCTGTCCCTGTCAGGGCAGGGTCCGGTAACGCCGCCATGGCCCCGCTCCCGCCCGCCCGATCCGCCCCAAGCCGCGGGGGCGGGGCGAGGGGCGGGGCGGAGGCGCAGGGCCCCGCCCCCTGCGCTCCCCGCCCGCCCGTCACGTGCGTTAGCGACAGGCGGCGGCGGCGCCCATTGGCGGAGGGGCGGGGGGGCGTGGCCGGCGGCCGGTCCGTCAGCTGCGCCGGGCCCTGACAACAAAGGGCTCCGCGGAGGCGGCGGGGCTGGGGCAGCGCGGTGCGGGTGAGTCGGTGCGCCGGGGGCTGCGGGCACCGGACGCGCTGCCGGTGTCCCGGGTGGGATGGGCTCCCACTGTCTGAGCGGTGAAGAGCAGTAGCGGCGGAGCCCCCGTTTTCCCATGCGCCCATCCCGGCTTCTCTCCGCTGGGTCGGCGCCGGGGCTGGGGGCTTTTGGCGATTTCCCGGCTGTGGAGCAGCCGGCGGTCTCGTCCGCCCGCCCCCCGGGCAGCCTCGGAGCGGGGCCGGGAAGGTGCGCAGCCGCCGCGGCTGTGCCGGGTGAGCCCGCGCCGCTGGCCGCGGCCGTGTAGAGCCTCCTGGCGGCGGCCGCGGAGCTGCGGGCTGGGGGCGCGGGGCATCGGCGGCTCGGCTCTGGCTCGGAGCTGCTCTGGGACCGACTGGGGGGTGGCTTCTTTGGTTGTGTTTTCTTTTTGCTTGGCACATACCTCATCTCCTTTGCTAGGTTAGAAACAAAACAAAAAACATAAAAAAGGAAAAAAATACTTTTTGTATTGCAGCGATACTGTATTGTTGACATTCATTCGGTGTGTTATCTGTAACAGCCTCTCAATCATTACTGTCGCTGAGTCAGTTGTTCCCAGGCTTGTGTTTTCCTGCCGCAAACAGTTCCTGACTAAGAACCCGAAAGCCTCTCTCGGTCTCTGTCCTGTTTTCCTCCCCGGACGATGGCCCTTGATAACAGCCTAACTTCTCTTGTGCTGCCTGACTTGCACAATAGCACACGAGTGTGGCCTTTTTAAAGGCGCTTGTCCAAAAGGATGTCAAAGTATCAACCACTTTCTAAATGTGCCGTGGTTTTAAGCCCAGCTGGAGATGAAACCAGGACAAAATGATTCAGATGTTTTTTTGGATCCTCCTTGGGCTGGGGGAAGGGAAAAATGGGACAAACTGCTTTTGATCCACAGAAAGTCATTTGTGGGTCAAAAGCTGAGGTTTGTTTAGCTCACATTCTCAGGAGCAGGGATCTCTCTCTTACTTGTTAGAGGGTAATTATTTTATGTTGCTGTGATGCCTTGGGAGCCTTACTAGAGGAGTGTGAGCTCTCATCTTGCTCCCCTCTGCAGAGAACAAAAAGGCAGCCTCTGCCTGAAGGTACCTCCAGGCTTGATCTAGGAAAGAGGCAACACACGCGTGTGGGAGTACAGGGAAAGCCAGTGCTGATCAGCAGCCACACAATGGCTTACTAGTTAGCCTAAAGAAAAAACAATCTCATTTTTTCATAGGCCTGGAGCCAGGAGAGTTAGGGAAGGATGTGGAAGGTGACTGGAAAACTACAGGCTTCAAGCTTCCACTTAGAATTCATTTCCTTATCCATAGTAAGCTCTGCCTGTAACTGAAGCACTGAAACCTTCCCAAGAAGGTGCTTGGGAACACTGTAGGCATTTGGCATTTCCTTAGGTAACCCATCCAGGGCTTAGAGACCTTAATGGTTAAAAGTGTTTCCTGCTAATAACCACTGAAAGTTGAGCTTTGCTGCAGTTAAAGCCACTTCTGCTTGCTCTGGGTATAAAAGAAGGCGATAAATGTTTGCCTCTTTCTTCACGTAATACTTTCTTCTTTCCCTCTATTAAGCTTTACAATTTTTAAAATTTTGTTGATTTTCTTTAGACTTCTGATAATTTTTGTAGCTCTCGCTAGGAGAGACCTGATGTTTCATTTTCTTAAAAATAGACCTGTATCACTATTGCAGCTGAGCCTGTTGTTTCTAATCTTGTTTTCCTGCAGTCAGTCATTTCTCTTGAGCATAACTTCCTTGAGTTTCACTGTACCTTTTCATATTGCTTCTAAAGACTACTTTAAATTCTGCTCCTCTCCTTCTGTGCTCTCTGAACAAGGAGGAAGCTGCATAAATGTGTACAGGAGCAGTGCTGCATGGAGCAAGTGCTTGTCCTTACCTTGAACAAGTGGGTGATGGGGTCTGGTGTCCTGGGATAAGGTGACACAGGAGACCAAACAACTCTTTGGTGTGGCCTGAGGGTTCTAGGGTAAAGCAAGGTATACTGATCTATATATAAATAATATTCTTCATGAGTTGTATCTTTTAGTATCTGGGTTTGTCTACTGTCATGTGTCTTGCTCCCTTTCTGAATGCAGGTACTTCTTACATGGATATATTCTTTCCTATTTAATTATCAAACAGGTATTTAATCTGTAATAGTTCTGACCTGCTGTAATGATTCAAATATTGCTATGGGCAAAAATAACTTGTTGTTAAGTTGGTGAATATTTTCCCCATAGTTTTTGCTTTTTTTTTACCCGCTTTAATGACTTTTATTTATTGGCTCATATATAAATATCAAAGGCAGTTCTGGGGTGTTTAAACATTGTTTCTTGGTACTAATGGGATTTTTCATCTTAACTGCCAAATGCAGAGGTCAGGCTTACAGTGACCAATGACATGTAGATTTAGGGGAGTGAATTGAGCAATAAGCACTGGGTTTAGTTAAACACATCCAATACTTTTCCATGTTCCTTAGACTTAGGATACATGACTAGTTGGGCGGTTGCTGTGAACCTGATCTCGCTGGTAACTCTGTGGTGTACTTTGAACCTCAAGACAGGATGTGCCTTGCTACTGTGTTAACTTGCAGTCTGGGTGGAACAGAGAAGAAACACTGCTTTGGGCTTCCCTGGGAGCCCTCACAGGGGCTCCTCTGTGTCAGCAGGGTAGGTGTTGTATGGAGCAGAAAACCTGCCCTTGCCCTTGGTGTCTCTCTGACATGGAGGGAGATGGGGGAGTGTAGACACAAGAGTCCTATACACCTCCTCCCTTAGGAGAAGGGGGGACTGACACCTAAACAGAACTTTTTTTGGGAAGGAGGTCTGAGACAAAGGCAGTTAGCTCCCAGGAGAGACCTAGGATTGTGCTTTTTGTTTGTATCTAGCTGGGAGGGGATGGCAGATGCCACTGAAGCTGCCTCTCTTCAGGGAAAAATGTTCATTGGTACCTCAGACTGCACTAACAAGGGGCTTCTAATTTGTTTCCCTAGGGATGTTACCTGTGGTTTTGTCATTAAGATGCTTGTCATCATTTTTTACAGGTTTCACGTAAACTGTTTACAAGTCATGCTTTTGCATGTCCTGTACCTAAGCTGATAAAGCATCTATGCACTTTAATCTCAAGTCTATACCACTCTGCTAGTAGTGTGAGCTGTGCCTTGAACCTTGGATATAAAGACCTACCAGCCAAAGTCTTGTTCCTGCCTTAAAAATGTTCCAGAGATTAAATAACATGCTCGTGGGAGAGATTGACAGCTTGTCCAGCCAAGAGCCAGAGTTCAGTGAGAAGGAAGATGACGAGTGGATTCTGGTTGACTTTATTGGTAAGATGTCTGTCAGACATAAGTTCTGCCTTTGTCTTGCTCTGGCTCTTGCTTGTCTTACTTCCATGTGAACAAACCAGCATATTGGGGAAACTTTATATCAGCAAAACCAGTGTGGGATTAGAGTGTAGGGTGTCTTCCAAACAAATGTTACATGTTGTGTAAATTGGTGAGAAGAATGATGTCAGGTTTATAAGCCTGACACAGGCTTCAGCAGAACCGCTTGTACAAATAAAATCTATTTGACTTATTTCGCAATTATATAGCTTACTGATAATGTTGTTTCACGTGTCTAACATGGCTTGTCTGGGAGCTCCCTTTTCCCCTCCCCTGCTTTTAAGAAGTAAAAATTTGTGTATGTGCTAACAGGGCTCTTTTTTTTCTTTTTCTTTGTTTTTTTTTTATTATTATTTCATATCCCGTTTCTGGCTGTGTGCAACTGTGTTGTTTTCGACCTTCTGCTGTCACCAACATCCGTGGTTCCTCTCCACTGATGACTGGTCCCCTGCAGCAGACACTTGCACTAATTGCTCCGTGGAGGAAGCAGACCTCGTTGAAGCATCGGCCACGGACAGCTCGCCCGTCTTCTCTTGTTTATCATCTCCCCTGGAACACTTGCCGGAGGCCAGCGAGTCCTGCTTCATCCAGTTTGAGTCATGTCCTATGGAGGAGAGCTGGTTTATTACCCCTCCCCCATGTTTTACTGCAGGTGGATTAACCACTATCAAAGTGGAGACCAGTCCCATGGAGAACCTCCTGATAGAGCATCCCAGCATGTCTGTGTATGCTGTCCACAACACCTGTCACAGCCTTAATGAGGCTGCCTGTGGGGATGAGGAGTTTCACAGCCCAGGTAGCCCCAGGTATGGCTGAATTCTCTTGTCAAGGAGCTCTGGTGCTCAAAATATCTGGTTTCTTCTTGATCAGCTTAGACACTTAATACTGAATTTTCCAGCTTATTTCAGGGAGGTGAATAAAGCATGACTACCACACAAGGTGTGTAGAGTGGTCAGGTGCCTGCCTGCTCAGAAAAATGTTGTACAAGATGACAGTGTTGGCAAACAGTTGGGTATGCATTTTGGCACTGCAGTGAATATTCATGGAGCCTTGTTACTCCCTTGCAGAGTATGTTCCAGTCCTGTGTAAACTGGTGGCAGTTAATTGTATAGCCAGTAATGTAGATATGAAAGCACTTTGCCCCCTTCACAGCTATGTGTGTTTTTCATAACTGCTAGTCAGTATTCTTTCAGTCACCTTGTGAGATGAAACACAGACCTTTAATGATCCTGACAGGGAAGTGGCTTTGGGTTTGGGTGAGAGGCTTCTGTGGGTTTTTTTTTCATTCCTCAACCTAGTGATAAGGACAGGATTAAATTTGCCCGCAAGTGGCTTGTGGAGCAAAAGTAAGCTGAAAGATTCCACAAAACTTAGTCTCCTCAATGTGAAAATCTGTGCTGCAACCTTCTACTTTTAGCAAAGTAAGTGCTTTTGGGTCCTGAAAATCTATCCATGTGGGTTTATTGTAGAGGCATGTTTGCCATGCTCTGCCATTCTTTGGTGTTGGTGTATGCCCCTGTTTCAGTACAGTGAACATGGCTGTATGCAAATAGAGGATTCCTTTGCCATTATGACCCCGTGTGTTCATTGGGTTTGAAATAATTGGGTGTTTTGTGAATCCCAGTTAGTAACAAAGACTGACTTTTCCTACATCTAGTTCTTAAGTTTAGAAACAATAGTATTAAAGAAAAAAATCACAGTATACTGAGCTTTGATATACAGGAAGAAATTAGTATAGCACTTGAGTTGCTGTAGGTAGATGCCTATTGACTTGTCCAATCAACCCCTTGCCATATTTAAGTTTTTAGCTCAAAGAAACCAGGTGACTTTGAAATTACATACTGCTGTATAATGTTGAAATATAGTGCTGATACTATTGATCTTGGTGTGGGATTTGTATAATTATTTGGGGAGGACAGTTTAGGATGTTAAGCATCAGGGTCTAGTTTAAGTTAAATTGGGGGAAAATATGAGCAGACAGCACCTTTAAAATGAGAGTCTGAAGGAATCTGCAAGAGTGCTGTAGGCTGCAGGACATGCCCTAGGACTTTATCTAAAATACAACTTGCAGTGAATAGTAACACTCAAAAGTTGGATACTGACTTTTCAGTCACTTGACATGGGGATCCTGATGTAAATTCACCCAGAGAAGGATCCTGTCTTGTGTTACACAGCACAGTTAAGCTGCTTCAGTGCCTGGGGAAGCTAGAGGTATGCTCTTCAGCTGGTGTGTAATTAAGTTTCTTCACAGTGAACTCTGTGCTGTTGCTTTGTCAGAGGATCCAGGCTCTTGTACAGGATATTTTATGTGATAACTGGGGTGAGACTTAAGTCTAAAGCTGAGGTAGACTGCAGAATTTGGGAACATTGGTTACACTGATACTAGGCTAAGTTTCAAAAGCTGTTATGAAGTCTCTAGTGGTTTAATGGTTGGCCATTTAATGTTGTAGGGCCAAGAAAAGCTGCTTAAGGCACACTGGCACAGTAAGTACTACTGTTTTGGAACAGTGCTTTTTGTTTGATCAGGCTGCTAGCAACACTGCTTCCTCTAGAGCCTTGTCTGCCAAAGCAATACTGGTTTTAGGACTAACCTTTGTGCCAAATGATTACTTGATCAAGCCTAACTACATCTGCTTTAACATGCCAAAATGCTAAGTGCAGAAAAATTACTGAAATGATTGGGTTGGGTGTCTGAAGCCTTTAATGTTTCTTGTGAGCTGTGGTTGTGTAGCACGATGAGCAGGACACTTCTGCTTTCTGGCAGAATAGACACTGGAAGCACAGCAGCAAATGTATGTAGTGATGGTCTGGCTTAAGACACAGCCCCTCTAAAACTGCATTTTGACAATGTGAGGGAGTCTCATCAACCCTGTTCTCTCAGTGCATGGAGCTCACTAGTGCCAGCCTACCAAATGCACCTAAGGTACCAAAAGGCTGCATTTTGGAAGAGTATGTGGCTGTTTAGCTAATTCAAACCACCTCTGCTATCCCAGTGTCACTTTGATGACAAATAGAGTGTTGGTTGGCAAACCATTGCTGGAAGAGTATTTGATAAGAGGGGGAGAAAAAAGCTAAAGTATTTTCAGCCAGCAAGTTTAAACCAGTTTTACTCCTTTTGTGGAGGAAATCTCTTTTTTCATTTTAAATTCTTTCAAAGCCAAAGGATGTTGTATAAACTTCCCTATTTGTCAGATTAGTCATATTTTTCCATAACAAAACCACAGCAGTTTGAATTAACAGTTGCTGCCCTTTGCTAGTTAAGGGTATGCTTGGGAAATACAGGTTGCAATAACTGGTGTGGCTTCCTGCCTCTGTAATAGCTTTCCCTAGAAAGGCTTCACTTGCAGTTCCACCTCCAGCACTGTTGGATGCACTAAGGGATCACTCCACAAGGAAAATAGTAGTGCCATATTTGCAGGTACCCTCATGTAAATTAAACTGGTGTAATTTGCAAAGAATGTATTTACAAGGCACTGTGGATTGATCTGTGCTTGTTACTCACTTTTTTGTTTGGTATTTCAAGTGCTAGGTATAGGATAATATCCAGTGAAAAACAGGGGAAGACCAGCATGTCACATATGACTGTTCTGCAGTCTCTACTCTTCAGTCATTCATATCAAACTACCCAAGGATCCAAAAGCAAGATTGGGATATTTGAAATAAGAAAAAAGTAGAAGGGAGAGAGTATTCCCTTGATGACAAGGAGAATTTCCCTCCAGTGTGCAGTGGGAGGAGGCAGAAGAGCTTACTTCATGTCAGGCACCTGCAGCCTCCCAGAGTAAGGCTACAAAGTGTACCATGGGCATGGCAGACCTGACTTGCGTCTACAGAGACATCCTACAATAATTGCAAGTTAAGCTCTTCCAGAAGAGACTTTGTATGACAAAGTCATGCTAATGTTGAAAGACAGACTTCCCAAGAGACCTCTTGCTCATGCCTGGGCAAGTTCCTGGTCTTGCAGCCATCTTTCCTGGGCATGACTGACCAGTTGACAGCTGGTTGTTGGGCCCTGACTGGGGAGAGAGAAGGCAAGAAACTCTGCTGCCACTGGTCTCATACCAGCTGTAGCACTCAGATTAGGGTTTTGCTTTGCTTTTAAAATGGCTAGGCTATTTTTAACTTTACTTTGGAAGTTTCAGGAAATGCCAGTGATTGTTCTGTCAAGTAGGGAAGTCCTTTTTCAATATGTCAGTCGCTGCTTGCATAGGCTGCTGGTTTGTTTTTCACTAGTGCATGATGAAGCAAGGGTTTGCCAAAACTGCTGACTCACTGCTCATGACATTTAGGGGGCTGGTTGAGGAAAAATCCTTCTGAGTTATTTTTTATGTGTGTCACAACTGGTCTACCTTTCCATTCCTCTGCATGAGCATTGTTTGTTTGGATTTACTTGTGTGGCTGGCAATTGAAATGCACTTTTGTTAGTGTTAGCTTCTGTTTTCAGGCTGAACCACCAGTGTTCAAGATGATTTTAAACCAAACTTTGCCTAGTGGAAAACTCTCAAGTCTTCTAAAGCTGGAGCAGTGTGACACACATTGCCTTACATTTCTGATCTGTGTTGCATCTTGGGCTTAGGGAGGTGGTGTGGGGAAGAAAGAGCACAGTAGAGTAAGAGCCAAAAGTCCCAAGGCTGTTGTGGGGCCCTCACACAGAAAGTGATTTAGCAGCACTACATGTTACTTACCAGTGTGGTAAGTGGCTTGACCTTACCTCAGCCCAAATCTCTGTCTAGTAGAATAAGGGTTCCCTTTTGAAGTGCTGGATGCTGATGTCCCCGTTCTCCCCTTTGTTTTGCTTGTCCTTTCAATGAACCTCAGTGGTGACTGATACCTGCTTGTTACATTTCTAGACAGGAGGCCCCAAATGAAATGGGACAGCGTGTTCACTGCTATGTCACGGCTCTTGCTACTAGTTCAACTTTTCTGGAAAAAAACAAGAGCTTTCGTCCTACCCACTGGATAAAAGAACATAATGAAAGACACTGTCTCAACAGGAACAGTCTCCGTCGCCAAAACCTCGCCAGGGATTGCCACTCTCGGCAAATCAAGCACAACGGACTGTTTGTTCACCAGCCTTGCCAGCGTCAGTTCAATTACTGATGGCTCTTGTGGTTTTAATCTATGGCCTAATTGTTTCTTAGGTTGCTTTTGTTTTCATGTGTAGGTAAGTGTGGTCAATCTGAAGCTGATTGTCAATCCCTCAAACACAATCGTAACTAGTGTTGCATTATTTTCAAAAGACTCCTAAGTCTCCAATCATCTTGCATCAAGTTCTAAATGTTGATGTTAAATATCAGTGTCTTGGAAGCCTATCAGTATGATAGTTTGTGTGCTGTTTTATAAACTTTGATGTATAGATGGGTTCTTAGTTGGTATTTTAAAGAAATTTAACTGAGATGGAAATGAGTTACATTTTGCATTAATCAAAACGAAGTTAGAAAATTAGTCATGTGCTTTAATGACCAGTACTTGACAGTTTGTGTATCTGTCTGTATTCAGCATATATGATTACTTTCTGACAAGGAAATTCTATAGCTGCCAGTGGATATTACATAGCTGTGCTGAGCTGTTTCAAGAAGGACATCTCACCTAAATTCCTAGAACTTACTTGTGTTAGTGGGGGCTGTGTAGGTGTGCTGGGTACTTGATATGGATATTGAAAGAGGGTTAAATGTCCCACCAACATTGTTGCAGTACAATATGGCACCAGTGTTACAGATGTAGTACCTCACAGTGGAGTGGGAAGAAAAGTGAACCCTTGGGTAACGTGCAGATGCACAACACAGAACTGAACTGGCAGCTTTACCAGATAAAGTTTGAGTTTCTGTAACTATTTCTGTCTTTGAAGCATGTATTTCCCCTACCCTATCTCATTTAATCTCTAGTCTAGGTAAAGGAGAAAGGTTAAAAGAATGGTCAGTCCACCATCTATCAGTAGCTGACTGCTCTTCAAAGAAGTCAGGCTGATAGACAGCTATTTCTGAGCTACAAATTGCTATTAGATTGTCTCATATTCACAGATTGAGAGTAGCTCAGAAGTAGCTAGAAGGAAGCTTTTATTCAAAGTTCTCCTAATTTTCTCTCTCATTCTTTATGAAAATGAAATCCAAGTTAATGGGGACTGGAAATGAAGGGCAGTGTGAGGTAGGACGAATTGGATGCTGAGCTAAACACAGTGATAACAGTGTATAAAAATTGATCAATCAGCTGTGGTTGTTCTCCTAGCCCACTGGAGGCAGAAGGATTTAATAGCAATTCCATGGGCCAACAGGAAAGAAAAGCCATTCAAAACAATCAAGTAGCTTTCTTAAGAGCACTGAGCAAGATGTTTTGGAAGTTGGCAGGCAGTGCCAACTACAACTACAGGTAAAGTTCACCTGTTACCAAAAGCTGTGTTACACAGCAGCCAGTGGTATGCTGGACCCTGATAGATCCAGATCAGTCTGGGAAGTGGATTAAATGGGAATGGAAGTAAGGAAGCAGAAATCTTCAGTGAGAGAAGGGGGGAAACCATAAGTAAGTTTATCTTCCTTTCTGCCAGTGCTTAATGTGACTTGCTGTTTTCCCTTGTGTTTAGTGCCTAGGGCATTACAGTGTTAACATTACACTCAGCTGTGTCTTCCAGTAATCCTTACACAGAAATTGGTACAAGGAGTCATGTGAGGAGTCCTTGAAATAAGACAAGGTTGATAATGTGAATTGTTCCAGACTTATGAAGTATTTAAATTCAGCCAGATGCTTCAATTTCACTGAAGCAAAACCCCAGCAATTCAAATTGACCTTGATGTAGTGGGTACTGTTGTGTGTTCTGCAGCTGAAATTGTTGTGGAACCTACTTAGCATACAGGGAACAGCATTCATAACCTATGTTTCACTGCAGATGTGCTGCTTCACTGCAATTAGGATTGTCACAAAGGGATATTGAAAATAATTAAATGTACAAAAGCAAGAGGTGCTTTCCTGGATACACTAGTTTTTGGGGTTTTGTTGTTTGGTGTTTTTTTTTTTTTTTTTGACAAATTGAATTCACATGGACACTAAAAGAAAGCAAAATTGGTCACACCAGGATTTTCCAAAAGAGATTTTGTTACTGCTGTTTTAGCAGTGTGTGCCCATGTCCATACAACAATTCTCATGTGGTCCAAATACTTTGGTTTATCTGCAAATAGCTGTAGTTTCACCAGTCTCTCTTACTTGCCTCAGATTATCTACCTACCTTTATCACTCCAACTTTTTGTCTAGCTTAAACTTCCTTATCCTTGCTGCCAACTTTCTAGCTCAGGAAAATTCTTTGCTTTCCTGTATTACTTTTCTTTATATAAAAGTAACTACTTTCCTTCAGCTTTAATTTTCTTAAAGTGCAATGAAGGAAGATGGAGTCTCCACCTCCCTGTGTTGGAAGGAGTAAGTAATCCCTTAACTCCTAATGGGGAGATGGAGCTGAGAGTATAAGGCTCCCAAGCATTAAAATGAGAGCCTTGGTCTGTTCTTCTCAGTAGGCAAGTAAATGCAACTTTAGACTGCTCCTAGAATTGGGAGATACTGATCTTTTTATACTGCATTACTAGATGACTTTCTGGTGATGAAAACCTATATCTTTCAGGATATAAACTATTTTGTTGCACAAAGCTGTGCTTCTCAATTTGTAATATTGGAAACCATATTATTGTGTGAGATAGTACTACATCAATGGCTTTTTGTTAATTTGTTTTACATATTTATGTTGGTCTAGCCCTGTTTTGTGCCTGGAGCTATTGGGCAATTAGATTTGTTTTGGTTTACTGTTTTAATAGTGAGCTGTGTGGCTTTTTATATGGTTTTTTGAATTGTATTAAAGTGTGTGTTTTTTCTTGTAAAAGTGGAGGCCTTGCACTGTCTCATACTGATTGATATTCATGAATCTTGCTGAAATTGTATTTTCATATGTATTGGTCAATGGACAGATTTGCATTTTAAACTGTGCCTTCTACACAGCAAACTTGAAGATTCAAAAGGGACATTTCAGTTGGGATTAATACTGTACATCAGTCTATGCATATATGGCAGCTTCTCTCCGGAGCCACTTCTCTATTTGTAGCAGTCCTTTTGATATGGAAGAATCTGTGGCTCTTATTTTTAATAGTTTAACACAAGCTGAAAACAGACAAAATACAGCACTTTGCCAAAAAAGGTAGCATTGCTTAACCAGTGTGTATTTACTAAAGTGATCTTCTGTATTTTGTTTTCATGGTGCGTTCTGCGCGCTGTGGGGAAACATGATCTTAACTCAATAAAAAATGGCCTATTAAAAGTTGTCAGTCTGTTCTTTAATGTTATAGGTTAGTGAAAATCCAAATGTCTGAGCATCCTGTGCAGGTGCTGTGTCTCTCACTGCTTGCTCTAGTACAGCAGTTGCTCTGGGCCTTGGCTTGCATTGCTGATCCGGTGACAATGTGCATCTGAGCAGTGCTGCACATCTCTGCTGACTGCTGCCTTTCCTGACCAACATGCAGGAACTCTGTAGGTGAACAGGACAGAGATAAAACCCACATGAAATGTGCATTGTGGGGGGGATTTTTTTTCTGTATCTTAGCTGAACCTCTCTTGTTTCAGTTCATACCCCACTGCCTATCATTTCACTGCCATGCACCACCATGAAAAAATCTGTATGGAAAGCTGCTGGTACAGGTATCCTGTGAGGGGGCAGAGACCCTGTGCAGATAGGGTTAGGGAAGGCAAAGTAAAGCCACCTGCAGCTGAACTTGGCAAGGGAGGTGGGGGGGACCAGAATCCATGTGACAAAGGACATGGAGAAGGCTGAGGTACTCCATGTCTTTGCCTTGGTGTCTACTGGGAAGACCACTTTTGGGACTGCAGGCCCCTGGCACATGTGGGAAATGTGAAAGCAATGAAGATCAGCCCTTGGATGAGAAGTCTCAAGGTAAAAAATGCTTAAAGAAATGCACTGTACACAGTTTTATGGGATGCACCTGTAAGTGGTGAAGGAGCTGGCTCAGAAACTCAGAGCTTGCTGGGCTGCAGCAGGCAGGGTGTTGACAGCAAGGAGGAGGAGGTGGTGTTGCACCTCCACCCTGGGCCAGGGAGGCACATCTGAATGGCATGTGCAGTGCTGGGCTCCCTTGAGGAGAGGGCATGCATGTACTAGATGGTATCCAGCAGGAGGCCAGGGCATAACAGGATTGAAGACTGAAATAACCAGGAGAGGATGAGAGCTGGGATTGTTTAGGCTGGGGAAGAAAAGTCAGAGGGGGTCTTGTCAAGGTATATAAACAGCTGAAGGGGGCAATAAAGGCAACAGAGCCAGACTCTTCTCTGGTGGTGCCTAGAAAGGACAAAAGGCAGTGTGTGCAAGCTGAAATGCAGGAAATCCTTGAATGTAAGAAATGGGCTCAGTGATCTCCATGTTGCTGTTATGGCTTTTTCTGAAACTATATGAATGAGTGGGGATTTCTGCCTCCAGTTATTGGGGATCCTTGATCTCTCTGGCTTTCCAAGGATCATGGAGATTGGCCTTGAAATGACATCAGCCAGCTCTCTCAGCACACTGGATACAGGCTTCCATGGATTTGTATGGGCTGAGTTGTTAGAAGTAGTTCCTGATTTAATTCTCACCCACCAAACAAGCAGGGTGAAAAAATGATCTCTTTAACTGACAGCAGTGAAAAGGTATTTGTGCAACAAGGCATTGATCTTCTCAGAGCAAGAACTGAGTAAAATCTTTCCCTTTGAAATGTAGATTTTGTCCTGTACATTTATCAAAGCAGCAAGTCTATGCTGAGAGCTATACAGTATTCTTCAGGAGAAGGTTTGGTCAATTATGCTTGTATTATTGTATCTATGCAGATAGCCTAACATAGTTAAGCTGATAGTGTTCCTTTTGGGGGTGCTTATTTCAGACCTCATGCAACTTTTAAAATTTAGCTTGGACAGTCTCCAAAACACCAGGAACTAGTGTCTTTTGTAACTTCTCTGTGCTGAAGCAAAAATGTTTGTATGAAGGGTTGCATTAGTGTAACTATTGGCTTAAGTTCTCAATTTACACTCTAGTTTTCTGTCTATATAAATCCTTGTATGTCTCTGATACAGTGCCTTCATCAGTGTTAAATGTCAGAGAGAACCATAATTACTACTCTGGTTCCTCATCAAGTAATTTGGTATCTGCTTACTTTGTTTCATTCACTTCTGGTGCATGTTTATAGCCACAAATAAATGTTGTGACTGTTATCGAGTGATATTTGCAAGGAAGGTTTGGGCTTTTGGAACATGTAGGAATGACTCATCAAAAGAACATGCTGATGCTGCTGTGGCACTGTTGTTCCCACAGTGTGGTCATGATCTATCAGTCTTAGAGTAAATGAGACTGAACTGAGACTTAACAGGATACCTTTTACAGCCAGCTTTTTCTTGATGAAAATATTGTTCTGGAGTTACTGCTGTATAACTAATACTTCAGAAGAGTCTTGACTTGTTCAAAAGTTCTGTGGGCAGACTGATAGCTCAACACTCAAATACCTTAATAAGGCAAATTAACTATTGCAATTTCATGAGTAAGCTAGGGAAAAGGAATAATAACAACAACAATAACACCCCCCCCAACAAATAGTTAAGAGTAACAAAACTAGGCTAGTGTCCAGGAGCAGGCTTCAGATCTCAGCTTGCAGACATGGGCTGTGCCATAGGTCTATACTTTTTCCTCTATAGATTTCAAATTGTTGTGTCCAAGCAAGGTGACTTAGGCAATATAATAAAAAAAATACCATTATGCACAAAAACAAATCTATCAGAGTGCTAAAAGAATTGTAGATTCCCTGAAATGAGGCTGTACAGAGAATCAGCAGCAGAGAGAGGTGGAAAAGAGAAGGGAGGCCTCAGGCTTTTGGGATATGTGGTTATCATCCAAGAGCTGTCAATTTTTGCAAGGTAAACAAAGGAGATGAGATCTTGATCAAGAAAGGGAGGACTGACATGGGCAGAAGTATCCCCTTGTCTACTCCTAATCCTATGGATTTCAATTCTAGCTCTTCTATCTGTGGTGTGAGACCAAGGAATGATTGATGGGCCAGTGCCAGTGGTCTGAGATACAGAAAGGCCAAGTGCTGGATCCTTGGATCACAACACCCCGTGCAGTGCTGCAGGCTTGGGGAAGAGTGGCTGGAAAGTGGCTTGTCAGAAAAGGACCTGAGGCTGCAGGTTGACAGGTTTGGATGGTTGCAGGCTCTTTGAGAGGGTTGGACATGGCAGAAGAGATAGGGGTTAGCACTGTATATAATGGAAAGGCTGGAATGTGTGGAGCTCACAGATGGCAATGGCACAGTTGACAGACTCTGGATAAGAATCAAGGGGCAAACAAGCAATGTGGATGTCATTGTGGGAGTCTACTATAGAGTCGTCAGGCAGGGTGATGACATCAACAAATTGTTGTTTGAAGAACTAAGGGACACTTCCAAATCAACTGCTCTTGTCCTTATGGGGAAATTCAACCTGACAGAAACTAACTGGGAGCAGCACACAGCTGGTACAACCTGGGCCTAAAAGATGTGGACAACAACTTTATGGAATAGGTACTGGGGGAGCTGACTCAGGAAGGTGCCCTCCTGGATCTGCTGTTTGTCATCAGAGTGGATCTTGTGAGCAATGTGGTGACTGATGCCATCTTGGCCACAGCAACTACAAAGTGTTTGAGTTTAAAATCCTTGTTGACAGGAGGAAAAGTGCAGGAAAACTGCTCTCAACTCTGGACATAGGAGAGCAGACTTTAGGCCTAGTAAGAAAAGTCCCCTGGGAAATGTTTCAATAGTGCTGGGGTCTGTCAGTGCTGGTCACTTTTTAAACATCACCTTCCAAGGCCACAGGAGCAGCAATTCCCCAGAAGTCAAGCAGAAGGGTGGTTTGGTGTACAGGGATCTTCTTTTGGGTCTAAGGCAAAAAAGGAAGGTGTGTGCCCTGTGGAAGCAAGGTCAGGTGACCTGGAAGAATAAGAGATGCAGCTTGCCACTGTAGGGAGAAAATTC